ATTGGCAAAACCAGTCATAAATTACTTTTCTGAATCAACCTGGAGAGTCTTATCTCTATTACATAGTTAACATACAGTGTTTAAATATTTTTTTTTTAATCATGGGAATGAAGTGCTCAGAATTGTGTATTATAAGGCCTGAAGGTAGGGAGGCAAGTGAGGCTGTTTCTTCACAGAGAAGAAAGGACTCAGTGAGGGAGCATCAAGGTTGGCCAGAAGGCTCAGAACTGAGTGACTTTGAAGAAGGCAGTAGTACTGAAGAACCAGTCAGATGTAATTGGGAAGGAAAGCCCTCCCAGATGATTTGTGTATTCCCATGTAAATACCAAATGCATGTGCTAACTTATTGTATGAATTAGGTACTTGGCAGAGTAAACCACCTTGCATCATGAGCCAGGAATTGAAAGTGGGACACAGGAAGGGACCAAGGTCCCACAGTCCCCTTTGAGGTCATGCTTCTAATGACCTATTAATCCCTCCAAGATCTAACCTCCTCAAGGCTGCACCATTTTCCAATAGCACAACCCTGGGGAGCAAGCTTTTAAAATATGGACCTTTGGAAGACACTAAAGATCCAGAAAATAGCAGCTAGCTATTATTAAAAATTAAATTTTAGAAGTAATATGTGATAAAAATTCCTTTAATCAAGGAAAAGTACTCATCTCTAATCTCCAAAAGGAAAACATTGTCATAAACATGACAGTATTTATAGTTGCTATTTTAGATAACAATAAAGGGTCTTTAATTGTACCTTTGTATGTCACTGTGTCAAAAGCTGTTAAAAATAAAAGTCACAATTTTTACTAACAACTAATGCTGAAGAAATGTTTGCTTAGTAAATTAAGGGGCAAATACCTGATTATCCTAAGAACATAGTTTATTCCTTTGAATATGTAAGGTTCTGTCATTTGTTAAAAGTTAATCAAGCTTTTCTGAGTTGCCTTAAGCATTGCTAATGTATCAAAAGTAAATTACTTTTAAAATGAAGATTGCTTAGGAACCTGGGCCTTACTTTGATTAGTTGGAAGAGTTGCCATTCAAATATTTTTTGGATTATATTCCTTTAAAACATTATCACTTAGTAAAGTTGTTGAATTTAGTGATTCAGAATAAGCCATTTATACACAGGGCTGGCATCTATAATTTAAGATGCTACTTATTAAGTCTTTAAGATTTCCATTTATGAAATTTGTAATAGTGAACTCTTCTGGTTTTTATAATCATGGTTGAAAAGTACCATTTACTCATCCCTCACAGTTTTGTGGTTCCTAAAACATGTTTAGGTATTCATTCATCTCATTAACCATGTTTGAGTATTGATGGAACTTTTGGCTTTAGAGATGGTTTCTGCTAAAGAAATGTTTGGATTGTATCTAGCATTTTCTTTCTGCTCTCTTTTAATAAATGTGGAGGAAATTTCTATTAATTGCTTCAGCAAAAATGTAAAAATTTTCTCCAACTACTATGGGACAGGTAAAACTTTGCTTTTGATAATAAAGTTTCCATTTTTATATCACTTGTAAAATATTTCATAAGAGTGGTGATTATCTTGTTATTTTCTTAAATTGTGCTAAAGAAAAATTTGTTTTTGCAATATGTAGCAAATTAATGCATAATGTATTAATATTATCTAACTTTTCAAATTTAACCAAAATGCTAAATCTAACTTAGAAAAATCAGTGTCTCTTTCCATTTTAAGTTGCTGAATCATAGCCAAATGAAACATTGGTAGGTAGGTGTATTTTTTCAAGACACATCCTGTCAGTGGCCTTGGCATAAACTGGTATAATATATACAAAAAGAAGATTTTACTATTTTTTTATTGGTTGTTCAAAACATTACAAAACTCTTGACATATCATATTTCATACATTAGATTCAAGTGGGTTATGAACTCCCATTTTTACCCCAAATACAGATTGCAGAATCACATCGGTTACACATCCACATTTTTACATAATGCCATATTAGTAACTGTTGTATTCTACTACCTTTCCTATCCTCTACTATTAATGATTAAAATGTTACAGTTTGAATACAAGGCTTCTTTTTTTGTTGATTTGTGTGCTGATATATCAGCACTGGGGGAAATTTATTTTTTCATGGTTAATAAATTCTGAAAGTAAACTTGCTATTCCTTACATAAAAATAACATTGGGATTCTTGAAAGGAAAATGCTATATAATCTGAAAATCATTTATTATCATTTCCTCTGAGAACCTGCACATATTTGAATATTCCCAGGAGAGACCTAGCAGAATCTTTCAGAGATTATAAAATTTAAATACAGTATGCAGATATTTTTGCTTAGTTTGTTTATTCTCCTTATATAATGGTGACATTACATATTAGGTCCCAGTGCATTAAGGAACTTCATGAGTAAAATACTGATATTTTAGATTACATTTCACATTTTTGTACAGTATGATTTTTTTCCTGATACCTTCACTGCAAACTCCTACTAAGTCCTGCACATCTTATGACAAAAGATATCATCTTGTGAAACTTTCTTCTCCAGAATTTAGTTCCAGAATTTCGTTTCAGATTTCCAGAGTTTATAGGTAAGACTTAAGGATAACTTTTCAAAACAGAGAAGAATCACCAAAGAGATGCTGTAAAAAGGCAGTGATTGTTCAGAAGAAGGAAAAGTTACTTTTTTCTATTAAAGAAAATTCAACACTTAGTGGGATAAATCATGTTTTCCATATGGAGCAGATTTATGCCTCCAGGGGGAAGTTCTAAATAATTTTTTCTGCAACAAGCAGTTGATAGGTCAAGTTTAGATAAGATCAGGAAAGGAGGGCATGTACTTCATAGCACATGGCTCTAATGATACCTTTTTCCTTCCTATTCATTAGTCACTATGCAAATGACTCAGTCACATTATACTGAATAATCTTGAATCTGCTCTGATTATGTTTTAAAAAGTGAATCAAGTATGAACATTGATGTTTTTACTATTATCAGTAACAAACTACCTAGAAAGCTTCTTAATATAGTATCTAATATATTATTGTTTCTTCTTTAAATATAATGGCAAGTAATGTTGGTACTTCCTTTCTAGAAAGTCTGTTCTCCTCTCTGTAATATGAATTTCATTGTTGTTCTAGTTCATGTTATGTTTTCCTGATATACTTTTATTTATGCTCCTTCATTTGACATTTCCATCAAAATGATTCTAGTTTGGGTTCCTTTCTATTGTCTCATCACTTTCCTGAAGAGCAAAATTCAGTTATTTTTGTTATTATGTTGAAATTGTCACATGAAGAGTTTTCCTTTTGTTTTATGTTTCTATCTCATTACTCTTTGTTGCCACAGAATCATATGTTTATTTACTGTTTCTGTGAATGAACAATATAGCATTAAACGACAGATTAGATAGCATATAGATATTTCTTAATTGCATGAACCCTTTTCTATAGTGGGTGGTAAGCCTAACTTTAATACGCAATTCTCTATAGATAATTCTTAAGTATATCAAATTACAGACATTTCCATGTTCTTCTTGAGCACTTTGCCTTCACCATGCTATAGCAGATACTGTTGGTTCACTGCCTAGACCTCCTGTACTGGCTGGTGATCCTTTCAGTGAAAAATTGCTTTGGCTAAATAGGAGGTACCTTTCCAGGGAGAGAATGTGCTCTCCCCTATTACTCCCCTCCACAAGGGGAGAGCAAGCCAATGATACATGCAGTATAAGTTGGGATCAATTCTGTGTTATAATTAGTGCTTTCCCCTGTGTAGTTAGGTAGAAGCTGATCTATGAATCTGATCCCATTCTTGCTTGGCTTTTTTTCTCCTTTCCTATAGTATCTTTTCTCAGAGTAATCCTCCAACAAGTTAATTTGAACAACAATCCCTATCTGGGCCTCAGCTGAGAATACGATTTAAGATGCACATCCAAATTTATTTCATCAACTTCTCCTTAAATACATTTTCTTTCTGTATTTGCAGTGTTTGATAAATGATACTATTTTATTACCCTCAATTAGAAATCTCACCTATTCCTGTGTAGAGTTATTTCCCAGTTTTTTTTTTGTTTGTTTCTGAACATCCTTTTATTCTTTCAAGTTATCAAGGACAACGTGAGAATTGCTAACACGATTCATTGTAATGAATGAGTCATTGTCCATAGTCTCTGTTTTTATTTTGATCATAAAGTTCAGTCACTTATGTTTATTTGTGTTGAGTGGGCAGGGGTGGCATTTAGGTTGATGAGGGGAATAGCAAGTGGTAGGGATCAGCCACTGAATGATGACAGATATTTTGCAGTCAAATAAGAATAAGTAGAACAAGTGGAGTCTGTAGGACTTGAAATTTAAGTCCTTGTTCATTTGAAGAGGGAGCATCTGGTACAGCTATCACAAGATGGTTCTAGAGATATGATTACTTAGCACTTAGGATAAGTAAAATCAGATGCCAAGTGGAATTTATCCTAAAATATATCCAATCAGAATTATATTTGCAATTATGAAGATAAGGTGATTATAAGCATTTCATTGATTTCAAAACAAATTAATTTTATAACAACAAATGGAAACAGCAAAAATCATGTAATAATTGTCATATACATATTATATTATATAAGTATACATATTATTATATATTATTATATAAGTATACATATTATGTATTATTAAATATTGTTAAGATATTTTATAATCAGGATGAAAATAAAATTGTAGGATGTTTTCAAGTACACATACTATTTATATTCTCATACTTAACAGTGTTAATCTTATTTTTAGGAAATTTACTCCTACTTTGAGGCAGTGAAATTGACCAGTTTTCAGAGTCCAAAAGATTCTTGAATAGTAAGGTATTTTAGAGGATTTTTAGTACTGGAACATTTCGGCTAGCCTGAAATCCAGCTATTATGTATCAAGGTCTATTTGTTGATTCCCTGTCATATACTCTATGATTCTCCATGTACCTCCTAAAAGAGACTGGTTCTTTAACTGTCTTTATATTGATGCCCTGAAAATCTTCATTTCTGTCTAGGGTGAGCCTGTCACTTTCTGTGAGGAAAGTTTTGTAAAGCATCGCTCAAGTGTGATGAAACAGTTCTTGGAAACTGCTGTTAACCTTCAACTTTTTAAGCAGGTAAGAGTGGATCTACACATTTTTAGTCTGTAACAGAACGTTGTCATTTTTGCACATTTTCATCATCCTGAAACTGTGTCCTAATCCTGAGTAAAGTCTTTTCTAGCATTTTATGATTTTTTTAAACTCAGTAGCTAGCTATGACCTAGCAGTCCAGAAATATTATGTAATAACTTTGCTATTAAAAGGAACTAATGAAAAAATTGCTAAGCTCCAGGTTTCACTGAGGAAGGGCATATATCCACAAAAGAAGACACAACATGAGTAGTTTTTAAGCAGGGAATGTGAGGAGGAGTTATTTTGGAATGGTAGATTTAAATGGTAAAAAATAACTAGGATAGTCTCAGTGTTATCTAGTTTATAAAATAATTTACAAAATGAATATTTAACTAACCTTTTAAGCTTTGTAAAAGACTTTTCATAATTATGAATTTAAAATTTAGGGGAAAATTATGGTTATACCATATGTCCTGATTTTCAGTTCAGAAAATATAATTTCCATTTCAAAAAAGTTGTAGCTTGACATCGGAATTCAGAAATTTTGGTATACTAGTTTTTTCATCTCATTATACAGTCATAGCAAGTCTCTTAAGCTTTGTTGTCTTAGTTTTGGTTTACATAATTTAAGTCCTTAAAATTTGCATTTCTTCTTTGAATGTTCTTTGATGTTGTGAATTTAGTGTTAATGAAGAACAGTGGTATGTCAAATAGTACTTAAGCAGGATAAAAATATGTAATGCCTTGGAGGAGCTGATGACCCTAATAGTAATTTGTTTTTAGACTCTTGGGGGGAAATTCCTTATAGCTTAAAATATTCTTCAAAATAAGTCAGTAAAGAAATCAGCATGGCAACAAATTAATATATTATCTATATTCTATGGAAATTTTAAAAATAATCTGAGATTTGAAAGTATTTAGAATAATATAACTATCTTTTAATATATAAAGGAAAGGCTTTCTATATATAAACTTTTAGCATCATGTATTTCAGGACCAGAGATGTCTTGTTATTTTCCAAAGATATAGTTGTATACTTTGGAATTACCTATACCTAGATGTATCCAAGCATATAGTGAATTACTTCCTAGGGTTATAAGGAGGATCAAATAATAGTGCTTTATAAGTGCTGAAGAATATAGTACAGTGTATTCCCAAGTTAGTCATCCAGTATGGGCTTGTTGAATTAAATATTAATGTGCCCATTTTTGTATCAAGAAGATATACAACTTTCTTAACTTTCTATTATCAAGAATGAGTAGTGAAGATCAAATTGTTAAATGGGTCAAGGATTGAATGGGTGGGTAGACTATATAACTTGCTGCTTTTGAGTAGAGATTCTGTAACTGGATTATTACAATTTAATAAGTTAATAAAGCATGGTAAATTTTATTACATAGTAAGTTTTAAAAAGCATTTATAAGAATCATGTAGAGTTGGGTTAGATACTTTTCACTTAACAGATGATTGTGCATAAGTGCATGTTTATTTTCCTTTAAAATACAAATATTGCCACCTACCTAACAGGGTTGTGATAACATTTATGTGTGCTTATATATACACTCAGCATAGTGGATGACACCTTACAGATGCTCAGTAAGATTTATTGTCCTTCTCATTCTTAGAGGAAATACAATAACATAATCCAAGTCTATGTGGGATTATTTTTAAATTAGTAAAATGAAAAGGCTAAATCTAAAAAATGAAAATCGTCAATGAAAGTAAAATCCATTTTGTGGACAACTTGAATAGTTTTGCATAGACAAATGTACCATTTTTAGAAGTTGATACCATTTTATGAATCTTAAGAAAGTGATTCTTTTTTTTTTTTTTAATTTTTTTTATTGGTTGTTCAAAACATTATAAAGCTCTTGACATATCATATTTCATACATTAGATTCAAGTTGGTTATGAACTCCCAATTTTACCCCAAATACAGATTGCAGAATCACATTGGTTACACATCCACATTTTTACATAATGCCCTATTAGTAACTGTTGTATTCTGCTACCTTTCCTATCCTCTACCATCCCCCCTCCCTCCCCTCCCATCTTCTCTCTCTACCCCATCCACTGTAATTCATATCTCTCCTTGTTTATTTTCCCATTCCCCTCACAACCTCTTATATGTAATTTTGTATAACAATGAGGGTCTCCCTCCATTACCATGCAATTTCCCTTTTCTCTCCCTTTCCATCCCACCTCATGTATCTGTTTAATGTTAATCTTTTCTTCCTGCTCTTCCTCCCTGCTCTGTTCTTAGTTGCTCTCATTATATCAAAGAAGACATTTGGTATTTGTTTTTTAGGGATTGGCTAGCTTCACTAAGCATAATCTGCTCTAGTGCCATCCATTTCCCTGCAAATTCTATGATTTTGTCATTTTTTAGTGCTGCGTAATACTCCATGGTGTATAAATGCCACATTTTTTTTATCCATTCATCTATTGAAGGGCATCTGGGTTGGTTCCACAGTCTAGCAATTGTGAATTGTGCTGCTATGAACATCGATGTAGCAGTATCCCTGTAGTACGCTCTTTTAAGGTCTTCAGGGAAAAGTCCAAGAAGGGCAATAGCTGGGTCAAATGGTGGTTCCATTCCCAGCTTTCCCAGGAGTCTCCATACTGTTTTCCAGATTGGCCGCACCAGTTTGCAGTCCCACCAGCAATGTACAAGAGTACCCTTTTCCCCACATCCTCTCCAGCACTTGTTGTTGTTTGACTTCATAATGGCTGCCAATCTTACTGGAGTGAGATGGTATCTTAGGGTGGTTTTGATTTGCATTTCTCTGACTGCTAGAGATGGTGAGCATTTTTTCATGTACTTGTTGATTGATTGTATGTCCTCCTCTGAGAAGTGTCTGTTCAGGTCTTTGGCCCATTTGTTGATTGGGTTATTTGTTTTCTTATTGTTTAATTTTTTGAGTTCTTTGTATACTCTGGATATTAGGGCTCTATCAGAAGTGTGAGGAGTAAAAATTTGTTCCCAAGATGTAGGCTCCCTATTACCTCTTTTATTGTTTCTCTTGCTGAGAGAAAACTTTTCAGTTTAAGTAAGTCCCATTTGTTGATTTTTGTTATCAACTTTTGTGCTATGGGTGTCCTATTAAGGAATTTGGAGCCCGACCCTACAATATGTAGATCGGAGCCAACTTTTTCTTCTATCAGACGCAGAGTCTCTGATTTGATATCTAGCTCCTTGATCCACTTTGAGTTAACTTTTGTGCATGGCGAGAGGAGGGGATTCAGTTTCATTTTGTTGCATATGGATTTCCAGTTTTCCCAGCACCATTTGTTGAAGATGCTATCCTCCCTCCATTGCATGCTTTTAGCTCCTTTATCAAATATAAGATAGTTGTAGCTTTGTGGATTAGTCTCTGTGTCCTCTATTCTGTACCATTGGTCCACCCTCCTGTTTTGGTACCAGTTCTTAAAGATAGCCCTGAAAGTATTTAAAAGAGTCTTGTTGACAGAGTTTTATAAACTTTTCTAAAAGAAAAGTCAGTTGGTAAAAAATGTATCAACACAGATGGATCTTCAAAGATTATACTTAGAAATTGCTGAAGGAATATAAAAATTTACCAGGTACAAGTGATTACTATCTATAATAATGATTTTATGATCCATGGAAGATCTAGAATTGGTGTCTCTTTTAGCATGTTAATGCTTCCAGTTTGATAGAACTTGAACCCAGGAGAGCAACATACAGTTTTAAAGAAAGAATTAGAGTGAATTTTTATTTCTGGTAATATGTCAGAGTAGGTTGAGAAATAACTTGTTTACTCAAGCAATTTAAAATGTAGGAGTTGAAAAATATTTTGTCGAAAGGAGGCACAGGAGACAGAGCTCATGGGTCACTTTTTCTGGGTAAGAAGTATAATAGAAGAACTTACTTCCAAAAATCTGGGAGAACTTCATGTAAAAGTAAACAGGAAATAAAGGTACCTTTTCCTTTCACTTATTTCCTGGGTATCTGAAAGGAGACTAAAATTTCAAAAGAATTTTCACTATTAAAAATCATTAAACATACAGGGAATCAAATCATGAGTAATATTAAAAGTAACAGAAACTGACCACGACTTCAAATACTGGAATTATCAGAAATAGAATATGACATAGCCATGTTTAAGATGTTGAGAGAAAAAATCAAGCTTTAATAAAGTTGTTCAGAAACAACTTTAAAGGATATAAAACCAATTTTAAGAATACAGCAAATAATTAGTGAAGCATATAATAATTGAAATTAAAGGAAATTGTTGGGTTTAATTGCAGATTTGTCTTAAATGAAGAGAGATTTAAGGAGTTGAAGATATATCTGAAATAGAAATTATCCAGAATATGGTACAGAGACAAAGAAATAGAAAATATAGTGAGATAATAGACATGGAGAGTCTAGAGTAATTCATATAACCAGTTCTAATAGGTAAAGACTAAAAACAGAAGGGAGAAAATAAATGAAATGACTTCACTAGAACCAGTGAAACACTCTATTTTATGGATTTAAAAAGTCCAACATATCCACACCAAGCAAAGAAAAAGAAATCTAATATATTCAATTACAAAATATTAAAGAGGGAATTTTTTTAAATGATAGGAGAAAAAAAGATTACCTTCAAAGGAGAACTGTACTGACTAAACTAACTTCAGATCAACAACAATGAATATAGATGATCCTGGCCTGATATCTATAACATGTTTAGAAAAAAAATATGTAGAGTCGTATACCAGTTTAAACACCTTTTAATTACACAAAGGATGTGAAGGCATTTCTCAACAAAACCTAGGTTTGCTCCTTGAGCTGGTTTTATTGATATGTCTACTTGAGTAGGCCACTGTCCCCACTTTACTCATACATTAACTTAGGTTTTGTGATGAAGAAATATTATAGATATAACTAAAACCCCTAATCATTTGACTATAAATAATAAAGATTATTGTTATAACCTGACTGGTGGATCAGTCTGAATCACTAGGAAGTCATTAAAAAGAGGACTAAGGAGTCCATG